TGAACAGGAATATGTGTTTTTGATCTTGTAACTGACATGGTAGGCCCAATGATGGTGTCAGCAGAGTAAATATGTGGACAAGGCTGGCAGTGGGCTTTGTTGCAAGGGAAAGTTCCAGGGTTGGTATTAGTGTGGAATGTCCTGTGGTTGTTGGTAAGAATCATCCTGAGGTTAAGTGGTTGTTTTATAGGAGACTATGGGTATGTCTCCCAGAGCCTCTCAGAGTGTAGTATCCTGTTCCAGTATAGGTTGTGACATCAGACAGTTTCACATCCTGAAGACACTAAGGAGCCCTGTCCTGGGCTGCTTCCTACCTCCACTTCTCCTTTCACATCCTCTGGCCCCACGCTCTGCTCTCTGCTCCACTCTCCGTCTCCCTCCTGTCTTCTCTGACCTCTTCTGTCTCCTGTCCCCCTCCGCTCTCACCCTTCACTCCTCCGCCCACCGCCATCTTCTAGCTCACTCCTCTGTTCTCCCCTCTCCCTCCATTACTCTCCTCCATCTCCTCTCCCCTCTGCCTTCCTCCGCTGCTTTCCTTTTGAATGCGGAAGTCTCTTGCCTCCCCCTGGCGTCAGGGATGCATGCACACTCTGGCCCCGCCCTACGCTTACGTGCAGCCCCACCCCCGCTTCTGGCTCCCGTCCCAGGACTCGGCCCCCCTGCACGCTGCTCAACTGGGTGGCTGCACAGAAACAAGCGGCGCAGATCACTGTCAGAATGCCACGCTGCCCATGCAGTACGGGGGTCGGCGCCGTTGAAGTGCAGGGAGGGTCGCCCTCACCGCCGTGGGGCGACTCCACCCCATCACAGCTTGCCAGCTACCAAAATCTACTCGTCACAGGCGAGTGGGAGAGCGGATTTGTCGAGCTCTTTATATGGTCATGCCAATTTTCTTCCACAATTACATCTGAGGAAATGGGTCTGGCCCACAAAAGCTTATCACCTAAAAAACCATCCTGTTAGTCTGTAAAATGCTGCATAGTCCTGTTTTTAATGGAGTCGGTGCTTCAACTGGCACCAGAGAAGGAAGGTGCGATGCGTAGTGCACCGGCATCGGTGCGGGAAACCCAGCTGGGACCTCTCCGTACTGTGGTACCGAAGCCTTTGGCACTGAGTCACTGATCCCAGTCTCCGGTGTCAAAGAAGAAAAGAGACAGTAGTGGGAGGTCTCTAGCCAAGAGACTGCATGAGAGCCGGCACCGGTTACATTCATTTTCCCGGTCCCCTCAATGCCGACGGGAAGATGACACAGTGCGGGAACATAGTCTGGGGTAGATACAGCTGCAAAGGCCATCCACGCAAGAAACCTTTGAAGCAGCGCAAGAGCTGATAGAGCTCACGATGTGTCCTCCTCAGCCCGCGCTCCCTCAGTACCAAGAGTGTTCACCGGTGGCACCAGGGGACTTGGCGGTACCGGTAACAGCGGCAGGGCACAGATCCTGGTCAGCACCACCAATGGTACCACCCACTTCGATGCTACATCAAACGGTGCTGCCAGCTACAACGTCGGTATTGTCTGGTACCGGAGGAGGCTCCACCTGCTGTGCTGCAAAGGGTGCCAGGCACTGATCCTCTGGCACCAGCCACCATGCCCCCACCTAGGAGTCCATGGAGAGGTTCAGACAGTATCACCGCTCCAAGGCTCCGCCCACGGCACCGCCATGGTCTGCATCCGATACTCTTCAAGTCAGAAGCTGAATCACTACCATCCAAGTCTTTATGGAGGACCTCATCTTGGTACTGTTCTCATTCCCGGCACTATCCAGACAAGGGGACTTTCAGCAAACTTGGCCTCCAGAAGCTCAACCACTCTGGCCTTTTTGAACGCCTTGGGCCTATCCCCAATGGCAAGGTCCAGTGCCACCATCAAGAGGGTCGACTGTCCCTAGAACCGGGAGCATACCCTTCAGCCTCAGTGTCAAGGCCTCCTGAGGCGGATACTAGGCAAAGCCCATTAAGGCAGAAGCCCAGAGATGAGATGGAATGGGGGATGACTACAGCCCCTGTTCCAGTGGAACTGGCACCTGACCACCGCCAGCCTGTGGTGGAGAAACAACAGGACTGCAACAGAGGGTCTTCCTTATCATCACCCGATGAAGCCTTGGTAGACCCAGCACCTTCAATGCCGTCTATGGATGCTCGCGCGCACCAAGACCTCCTGGGTAGATTGGCTACCAATCTAGTTGTCCAAACGAAGTCAGTAGTTGAAGACGGTGACCCCATGGTAGACATATTGACTGCAGATACCCCAGCAAAACTGGCATTGCCTCTTAACAAAACAGTGGCTAAGATCACGACTACTCTGTGGCGAACCCCAGCATCAATCCCGCCTACCCAAAAAGGAGTAGAGAAAAGGTATTTCGTCCCGCAAACAGGACACGAGCACCTCTATTCCCCAGGCTTAATAGTGGTACAGGTGGCGGCTCAGAAGGAAGGGCAAGCGCAACCAGGGCCTACTCCTAACTCCAGAGAGCCCAAACGTCTAGACCTAATGGGGTGTAAGGTCTATGCCACTGGGGGTCTTCAATTACGCATCGCAAACCAGCAGGCTATACTCAGCTGGTACGCATATAACATGTGGCAGATAATGGGCAAGTTTTTTGACCTCCTACTCTCTGACTCTAGACAAGAGTATACCACCATGACTAATGAGGGCAGAACCATAGCCCACACGGCATTGCAAGCGGCATTGGATGCTGTGGACTCGGCAGCCCGAACCATGGCATCGGGGGTAGTCATGCACAGAGGTGCATGGCTACAGGTGTCAGGCATACCCCAGGATGTCCCAAACACCATTCAAGATCTACCCTTTGAGGGCAAGGACCTCTTTTCTCAAAGCACGGACTTGAGACTCCACACCCTTAAGGACGTGAGGGCCACTCTTAGGACTCTAGGAATACATACACCAGCCCCGCAGAGACAGTCACTTAATACCAGGGCATCTGCTAGACCACTATACCCTCTCTATAGGCTAGACCTGTGGAGGCGCAGGCATCCTAACGCAGACACGGGTAATAACAACGCCTCTGGACCGAATAATGCTTGTAATAGGAGAAGGCAACCTAGAGGAGATGTGGATAGATGTGCAGGCCCTCCTGCCAACCAACCTTCCAAGCCCCCCTTTTGAAGATGCGCCCGGGGGTCATGTACCAGATCTCACATTAGGCCCTCCCTTTGGGAACAGGTTGTTCCATTTTTACCAGGCCTGAGCCAGGATTACATCAGACAGATGGGTGCTAGACCTGATTGAGAGAGGGTTACTCTATCCCCTTCCTCTCTTTACCTTTTACCCCATCCCTGTTCAGGGACCCATCTCACAAAGCCCTCTTAAGGCAGGAGGTGCTCTCCCTTCTCTCCAGAGGAGCAGTAGAGAGGGTCCCAAGGGGTTTCCAAGGGAGGGGATTTTATTCCAGATATTTTCTCATCCCCAAACTAAAAGGGGGTCTCAGACCCATCTTGGACCTCAGAGACCTCAACTGGTTCATAAAGTCAGCGAGTTTCAGGATGGTCACGCTTGCCTCCATTATGCTCATGTTAGAGATAGGATACTGGTACGCAACCCTCTATTTAAGGGGTGCTTATTTTCATGTAGCCATACAGCTGATGCACAGGCACTATTTTAGGTTCATGGTAGGGCACGAGCATTTCCATTTTACAGTCCTGCCCTTTGGTCTCTCCACCATCCCCAGGACATTCACCAAGTACATGGCAGTAGTAGCAGCTTTCCTCAGAACACAAAGAGTGCAAGTATTACCGTATCTGGACGACTGGCTCATCAGAGCACGATCAAGAGATCTAATCCTTCTTCACATAGACATTATAAAGTCTCTGGGGAGCTGGGACTTTTGATAAACGAGGAAAAGTCCATGTTAACTCCCTTGAAAGATATACAATTTGTGAGGGCACGTCTGGACACCATTGCAGGCAGAGCATCCTTCCCCATGACCAGATTCACAACCTCGATGCTCATTATTCATGGACTTCAGCTTTCCCCCCTTACGACGGCAAGAAACTGCATGAGGCTACTAGGCCATATGGCGTCATGCTTGCACGTGGTTCCCCATGCCAGACTGAGACTCAGGCCATTGCAGGCATGGTTGGCCCTAGTCATTCAACCAGAATCGAGCACATTGGGACTTGGTGCTGTTGCTTCCAAAGGAAGTCCTCCAGTCACTGCACTGGTGGACTCAAGAAAGGGAAGTGTGCAAGGAGGTCCGACGCATTAGTGCCTATTGGCCCAAGGGACTGCTCTACACATTTCCTCTGTTCCCGTTGATCCACAAGGTTCTCGTCAGAGTCAACAGACTCAAAGTGCTAGTCCTCTTACTAGCTCCAGACTGGCCCAGACAGTTCTGGTATCCGATTCTCCTGGACATACTCCAGGACAAGCCTCAAGCCATACCTACTATCCCAGATGTGATCGTTCAAGAGTGGGGGGAGGGTTTCTTGTATCACCCGAACATCAAATCCCTCCGTCTAACAGCATGGCTTATCCATGGCTAATTGGTACAGAGCTAAATTGTTCTGAGGCTGTGAGATCGTTACTCCTGAGTAGTAGAAAGCCTGCTACAAGGGCAGCGTACTTAGCTAAATGGAAAAGATTTTCACTGTGGGCTGTGGATACAAGTGTAGATTCTAGTACGGCACCCACCCCTCTGGTGTTAGAATATCACCTGGGGCTAAGGCGGACTGGCCTTTCCACAGCATCTATTAGGGTGCCCCTAGTGGCTATGTCGGCTTTCCACAGGGTGGGGGAAGGAAACAGATCCCTATTCATGAACCACTTGGTTAAGAGGTTCCTTAAGGGTGTAGATAGACTGTTCCCACATGTGAAACTGCCGGTGCCCCAGTGGGACCTCAGTTTATTACTTACCAAACTCATGTCCCCACCCTTCGAGCCTCTGGCCATGTGGTCGCTAAAGTACCTCTCCCTTAAAGTAGCATTTATTTTGGCAATCATTTCAGTGAGTAGGGCATCAGAGCTTAAGGCGCTGATGATAGAGCTCCTTTACTTGCTCTTTTCAGCAGATAGGGTGAGTTTACGTACTCACCCAGTCTTTCTACTGAAGGTAATGTCCACCTTCCATATGTCCCAAGACATATACCTGCCTGTGTTTTACCCATAAGTCCTCTAGGGAACAAGCCCTCCACTCTCTTGATACCAAGAAAGCATTAGCCTTCTATATAGACAGAACCAGATACTTCCGCAAGTCGTCCCATCTTTTTATTTCATTTGCGGAAAGGATGAGAGGGTTGCCAGTGTCAGCCCAGAGGCTATCTTCCTGGGTCTCATCCTGTATAAAGGAGTGTTACGTGTTAGCAGGCAAAGACCCGCCTCACATGACGGCCCACTCCACATGAGCACATGCGTCCTCTACAGCGTTTGTGGCTCAAGTCCTGATTGTAGATATCTGTAGGACATCCACATGGTCCTTGGTCCATTCGTTCACTGCACATTATGCCATTACGTAGCAGGCCAGGAGTGATGCAGCCCTGGGTTCTGCAGTTTTAAGTTCAGTTCTGTAATGTAATCAAATAAAAGCATGTTAGAAAGAAGTCACTTGAATTGATTTCTGGGTCGCACCTCCGACCCCACCTCCACAAGTTTTGGCTAGGATTTCACCTAATTCGAATGCACGTGAGCAGGGCTCGACAAACCGCAGTGAAAACCACTTGCCAGTCCCACACCGCGCATGCGTGAACCACCGGTGAATGGGGTGACTAGCTGAAATCTACTCGCCACGGGTGAGTAAATAAGCGGATTTGTCGATCCCTGCACATAAGCAACAACTCAAAGAAGAAAAGAGGATTACTTACTTGTAACTGTTGTTCTTCGAGATGTGTTGCTCATGTCCATTCGAACTGCCCATCGGAGTTTCTGGCAAGAAGGAACTGAGGAGGGGAAGGGCTGACAGGGGTACTTATGCGTTGTTATCACAGCGCCTCTCTAGGGGGCGACCTGCCAACCCGATGGGTACCGCTGGGGAAAAAACGCTCCAGGAACTGTGCACACAGCTCACGCGCACCTAATTTGAATGAGCAACACATTTCGAAGAGCAACAGTTACAGATAAGTAATCCCCTCTTACCTCACCTATGTTATTTCTCTAAGGTATACCATTAAACAAACTAAAGCAGTTTAATATAAAGACCATGTTTAAAAAACAGAGCTTTGTCTTACCACCAAAGAAACAATAGAGATAAAGTTGCTGCTTAATTCTTTTATTCACCCTGTTTTGCATAAAGGATAAATTCAAGCATTTGTACCTTAAGAGACTCCTGGACCACAGAGGTTCTACTTCTACCTCTATGTCTGTGTTCATATGTAAAAGCCACAATAATGTGAACTTGTATTGGGATTCACTGTGGGATTATGTACAGCCTCCTTCCCATTTCAGTTGTTCCTGCAGGGACATGAATAAATCTGTTATAAAGGTACCTACGGCAATCAAGGTATGCATGCACTAAAATTCATGTTCCACGTCCCCAGAGCCTGGCTTTGCAGGAAATCTGTAGAAAACAGAAAACAAATATTGTATCCTGTGGTGGCTCTAGCTATTCAGATATGCATCTATGCCTATCCTAAGGCCTGAACCTGTCAGTGTATGTTGAAAATCATCAAAGGGTGAAATTTCAGTTACATGAGCTTTGATTTTAATGAGTGTCAGGTTGCTTTATTCACACAACCACTTTACATATTTGAAAGAATGTGCTCTCTCTCTTCTGAGACTTGCCATACCTAGCGAAGAGGAGAGGTAAGTTGACAATGATAAGATAGCTTCGGTCTAAAGTTGGTTCCTTTAAGTTAATATTAGTATATAAAAGCTACTGGAAATGAAAATGACTTGAAGATATTACTGTGACAATAGATATTTAAGTATTTGCTACAATTTCCTAGCTTCAGATGTCCATGGATGTACATTGTTGGCATCGGAGAGGGATGTTTATTATGAGAGAAAAGATTATCATCTCAGTTATTCCACTAGTAGGAAAATAGCTCAAAGGCCCTTGTTAATTCTCCACAGATATTTGTTTCCTTTCCCAGAGTGATAGGTTTAGTGTCTTGCAAAGGAATATTTAATAGAAGTGCTTTGTATTGTATTATCCACTTGTGGATTAAGCTTGCTGAGCTGCTGGAAAACCCTGCAGTAGTCCAGGGTTCACAAACTTAATCTGATTAGGCTGTTTCTGCTGATTTAACTTGGATTTATATATTTATTTTAAATCTGAGAGACCATACCTTCTTAGAAATCTGCACATCTCTGCTCAGCTCAACTTAATCCTGCTGATAGAACCATGAAATACAAAATCTTAAACTGACTTTTGTGTTTAATACCAAATGAGACTCAACTAATAGTACATATTTCATCATTTTGACATATGCAGGGCTATATATGGTAAAGATGAGAAAATTGACAGTTGAGCTGTTAGGTTTTTATTTTTTAATTAAATGTTTTGTAATGCTGAGCTGATGAAAGCAGCCACATAGCATGGAATTGCAGTGGAACAAATTCTTCCCATTCAATATTATTTTGTCCTAATGTATGGAGACTAGCCCCTGACACACAGCAATGACTTTTATTTTATATATTTATTCATCAGTATTTAGTCTGTGCTGTCTTTCTGTCCTGCTCTCAGCACCATGATATCTAAATGCTAATTGAAACTGTCCATAAAGGTGCCAAATAGTAAAAGTGGTTTTTTTGTGTACTATATCTGTTGTCTAGATATTAGACTGAGACTATCAATGCTTTTAACATAAATACACAGATAGCAGATGCATTGTAATTTTCAAATCACTGTCAATTTGGGTGATATATGAACTGGTAACTTATGATGAAAGACTATGTATACTATTAAAAATACCCTGGGCCAGTCACCCTTTTAGATGATTTCAGTTGGATTAGTACAGCATATTAGATGCAAATTATGATGAGTTGGCGTGCTGACTTTATAATTTCTTAGAACTAAATATTTTAATGGCTACTGCCTAAATCCTTGTAATTTCACAAGTAGTCCACGAACAACAGGATGAAGTTTGATTGACAAACCCACTGTATTTATGAACGTATTTAAAATCTTTTAACATTCAATATATATGATAACATTGCTTACTATCTTACCTGAAGTGTAAGTTTTTTAGAATTATGATATTGATGCTATAAGAATTCTGTTGTCTTTGAATTAGACTCATCATGGAGATAAATTTTTGAGTTCTTTGATTCAGTAAGTAACTTTCGAATAGTCTGATGAAACATTTGGATGCTATCCGAAAAATGAAGATGAATCCCTAACTCTTCATTTGCTTCACATTTTAGTGAAAGAAGTTTATATGTAAAATGTATGCTTGTCCTTGCCCTTTTTAAAAGGAAAAGTTGGAGATGGATTTTTCTTTCCAAACTCATTTGAGATGCCTTTTTTTAATTGAAACTGTGGTTGGTTTGAAAGAAGGCTCTGTATGCATTAAAAATAAACTTTTAATTCAGTTGGACCTCCACTCATACAGAAGGGTGGAATAGGAAGAGATCTGCCAATCTTCTGCTAAGACCATAACTCAAGGCTTCTTCCCTGCTCTGGCACAATAAATGCAGAAGTAGGGGCCCACAAAAGTACTCCAAAACCTCATCTTTCCAGGCTTTGGTATAAAACTTCCCCCCAAAATCTTAAAAACCTAAATTTTGGGGATAAAAATCAATTGCCAGCACCCAAGTAATGATAAGGAAACCAGGGAGAGACCACTTGGGAATTCTCAGCCCCTAAAGTAAAACCAGGACACAAAAATTAACCAATACCAGGTTAATAAAAAGAAAAGAGAAAAAAACATTTATTATCACCACAATATTTCTGTTACAAGGATAATGACTAGATGGAAAAGTCACCAATTAATATACTCATGGGGAGATTTTACCATGGGCCAAAACTTAGTTTAAAAAAAGAGAAAAAAAAAATTAAATGCACAGACGTCAGATTCCCAAACCATAAAACAATAAAATGGATGTATCAAAACTATATCCTACTTACAGATAGTGTCAGTTCCTCACTGACAGTTACTCTCTGGAAACTTATAAAGTCGGGTTGTAACTGGTCAGTGAGCAATCATTTTGTAGTTGGAAAATCCATAGTGGGAACCATTGTCATGAGGGCCATTAATTGTCTTTTGCTCCAAAGCATTGACTCTTGGCAGAGAGCAGCACATAGTGGATGGATTTGCAGCAGAGGGGCAATAGATAATACCCTGTCACTATCCCTAGTTTGGCATCAGGACATCTTGTCACTGAGTAAATCAACAGAAAAGGCTGTTGGTTTATGATTATGTAAGCTCTGGTGGATCACCCGGGATGCTTCACAGATATCAGCATGGACTGGTCAGGAAAGGTGTATGACACATCTTTAAGATCAAAGGACTGTTGAGAAATCTGAAAGTAGGGAGGCTCTTTCCTGACCGGCAGATTACCATAGACAATATAGAAATGCCAGCAATGATAGCTGCTGCTGATCCCTGCTACCTCTTATTTCATCAAGACATACATTGGTCACCTTGTTAGCACCAAAGTAAAATTCAACTACCTGCTCACCAGGTATAAAATGAGTGTTGAACGTGCTTTTGTTAGTTTGAATGGGTGTTGGTTGGAGAGCAGACTTGACCTGTCTGTCTTCTGTCTTTTCTTTGAACACAAGGAGCATAACAAGAGCCCAACCTGGAGTTATACAGTTGCGAGCTTTGAAAGGGTGGTCATGTATTGTACTATATTGTGTTCTGGGCTTAAACTTTTTTTTTTTTTGGTGCTGCTAAGAATTGTATTTAGAGTTACACTGGATTTACAGTCACAATGAAAAGGGAAAGATGAGTTTGAAATGTCTCTTCTCTTTATGTTATTACATCTTCCCTTGTCCGGCACCCTTGAGACTTGACTGGCCCCAAATGAGGGGATTTGCCAGACCAGGGGAAGTCACTCCCAGCATGGTCTGCTGCTCCCAAATGGGGCTCTAGTCCAGCACTGCCGCTGCCTGCCTGGCCATAGTTCTCCAGGCCAGTGTTATATAGCTGCTGCTGAGGCTGGAGCCCCCTGGCTGCTACTGGGGCCAGAGCTCTGCAGCTGGGGCTGGAGCTCTGTGGCCACTGCTGGACCCCAAGCTCCACGGCCGGGGCCAGAGCTCTGTGGCTGCTGCTGATCCCTGCTACCTCCCAGCTGCAGGGGCCAGAACTTCCTACTGCACCGCCCACCACTCCACCCCGTCCCCTGGGCATGGGACTCCTGGCTAAGTCACCAGCCCCTTCCTGCCCCTGTGGCCTCACCTCGCTTTTGAAAGAAGCCTGCAGTCTAGACATAGCCCTAGTGGCCTACTGTCTCCACTCTTCCTCCTAAATGCCTTTACTTGACCACCACAAACGAGCTATTTGCTGCGCTCTGGAACCTCTGAGGGTGGGGGGAAAGTTCAGTACAGGGCCCTTGGCTTTTCCTTGTGAGCGATCCAGCTGTGAAGCACTCACAGATGGTACCAGTTAAGTGAAGTCCATATTAAAGAGGATCAACCTGTAGATGCTATGTAGCAGCCATAATTTGGACATAACTGTTTTATACTTTAGTCAGTTGTAGTAGGAACACTTTTCAGTGCTACTCCTCACTCCTTCACTATCACTTAACATTTCTCCTCTTTAATAATTAGTTTTATAAAACTAATTGAGCTGTTGAAAGAATTCTTCATACCTCCATACCATTGAAAGTTTCAGTTCAAAACACCAGTTTGGAACATTCAGAGTCTGCTATTTTCAGCAGTGTGCTGGGTTTCACACAGCACAGTCAGTTGTGTTCATTCTGTTAGTTGCTAGGAGCAGAATTTCCTTGATGTATGTAACAAATAGTTGACTGCTGCAGGAAATGCATGTTATTTTAAGAGCAAGAGCTTGTCAGTTGCGTGTCTTTTAACTATTTCTAGGTCTTCAGACCCCATTTTAATTTGCTGGAAGATCTATAAGATTTGGGAAAAGTGCAAACAGGAAAAAAAAGTGACCTTCAAATGTGTTGGTTTTTTTTTGTCTTGTCTTTTTCTCCCTCCTTCTTGTAACACCGTTTTAGATACTTGAAAACCGCTATCAATGTTCCCTCTCAGTCTACTCCTTTTCTAAACTAAATAAACCCAGTTCTTTCAGTCTTTCCTCATAGGTCATGTTTTCTAGGCTTTAATCATTTTTTGTTGCTCTTCTCTGGACCTTCTCCAATTTCTTTACATCTTTCTTGAAATGTAGTGCCTGGAACTTAAATGTCTGTATTTCACATGATCAACTGACTCACACTTGAATTTTACAATGGAGCCAAAATTATAACAAGTTCTATGGACAGAATCCATTTAAAATTTGTATGATTTCTGCTGCACATTTATGCAGACGAAGGAGCATGTAATGTTGTTTTAATGCTAGTATAACTGATAACTTATCTTTGCATATGGAAAATGCTGCATAGATATTATTTAAAGTGTGTGTGTGTGTGTGTGTGTGTGTGTGTGAGAGAGAGAGAGAGAGAGAGAATGGCATATCAAATTCAGGAATTGATTTTCCTGGATATTCTACATGACTGGGGTTGGGATAAGCCCCAAAAGCAGATGGGCTTCTGAATAATGTCTTATCTTGACTGAAAGAGTCTAAAACCTGTTCAGGAAAATTTAAAACTTCCATTTTAATCCCTCTCTTTAACTGTTATGGTGAAAATTATTTTAAATATTTTTATCATAAGTAATGAGCTGGTTCTTTGGCTTTAGGTCATAGTAAAAGCTAAAGCATATGTCAACTTTCATAAAACCATTTCTTCTTAATAGCCAAAACAAAATACAGGACTATGTAGCACTTTAAAGACTAACAAGATGGTTTATTAGATGATGAGCTTTCGTGGGCCAGACCCACTTCCTCAGATCAAATAGTGGAAGAAAATAGTCACAACCATATATACCAAAAGATACAATTTAAAAAAATGAACACATATGAAAAGGACAAATCAAATTTCATCAAAGGACTGTTGAGAAATCTGAAAGTAGGGAGGCTCTTTCCTGACCGGCAGATTACCATAGACAATATAGAAATGCCAGCAATGATAGCTGCTGCTGATCCCTGCTACCTCTTATTTCATCAAGACATACATTGGTCACCTTGTTAGCACCAAAGTAAAATTCAACTACCTGCTCACCAGGTATAAAATGAGTGTTGAACGTGCTTTTGTTAGTTTGAATGGGTGTTGGTTGGAGAGCAGACTTGACCTGTCTGTCTTCTGTCTTTTCTTTGAACACAAGGAGCATAACAAGAGCCCAACCTGGAGTTATACAGTTGCGAGCTTTGAAAGGGTGGTCATGTATTGTACTATATTGTGTTCTGGGCTTAAACTTTTTTTTTTTTTGGTGCTGCTAAGAATTGTATTTAGAGTTACACTGGATTTACAGTCACAATGAAAAGGGAAAGATGAGTTTGAAATGTCTCTTCTCTTTATGTTATTACATCTTCCCTTGTCTGGCACCCTTGAGACTTGACTGGCCCCAAATGAGGGGATTTGCCAGACCAGGGGAAGTCACTCCCAGCATGGTCTGCTGCTCCCAAATGGGGCTCTAGTCCAGCACTGCCGCTGCCTGCCTGGCCATAGTTCTCCAGGCCAGTGTTATATAGCTGCTGCTGAGGCTGGAGCCCCCTGGCTGCTACTGGGGCCAGAGCTCTGCAGCTGGGGCTGGAGCTCTGTGGCCACTGCTGGACCCCAAGCTCCACGGCCGGGGCCAGAGCTCTGTGGCTGCTGCTGATCCCTGCTACCTCCCAGCTGCAGGGGCCAGAACTTCCTACTGCACCGCCCACCACTCCACCCCGTCCCCTGGGCATGGGACTCCTGGCTAAGTCACCAGCCCCTTCCTGCCCCTGTGGCCTCACCTCGCTTTTGAAAGAAGCCTGCAGTCTAGACATAGCCCTAGTGGCCTACTGTCTCCACTCTTCCTCCTAAATGCCTTTACTTGACCACCACAAACGAGCTATTTGCTGCGCTCTGGAACCTCTGAGGGTGGGGGGAAAGTTCAGTACAGGGCCCTTGGCTTTTCCTTGTGAGCGATCCAGCTGTGAAGCACTCACAGATGGTACCAGTTAAGTGAAGTCCATATTAAAGAGGATCAACCTGTAGATGCTATGTAGCAGCCATAATTTGGACATAACTGTTTTATACTTTAGTCAGTTGTAGTAGGAACACTTTTCAGTGCTACTCCTCACTCCTTCACTATCACTTAACATTTCTCCTCTTTAATAATTAGTTTTATAAAACTAATTGAGCTGTTGAAAGAATTCTTCATACCTCCATACCATTGAAAGTTTCAGTTCAAAACACCAGTTTGGAACATTCAGAGTCTGCTATTTTCAGCAGTGTGCTGGGTTTCACACAGCACAGTCAGTTGTGTTCATTCTGTTAGTTGCTAGGAGCAGAATTTCCTTGATGTATGTAACAAATAGTTGACTGCTGCAGGAAATGCATGTTATTTTAAGAGCAAGAGCTTGTCAGTTGCGTGTCTTTTAACTATTTCTAGGTCTTCAGACCCCATTTTAATTTGCTGGAAGATCTATAAGATTTGGGAAAAGTGCAAACAGGAAAAAAAAGTGACCTTCAAATGTGTTGGTTTTTTTTTGTCTTGTCTTTTTCTCCCTCCTTCTTGTAACACCGTTTTAGATACTTGAAAACCGCTATCAATGTTCCCTCTCAGTCTACTCCTTTTCTAAACTAAATAAACCCAGTTCTTTCAGTCTTTCCTCATAGGTCATGTTTTCTAGGCTTTAATCATTTTTTGTTGCTCTTCTCTGGACCTTCTCCAATTTCTTTACATCTTTCTTGAAATGTAGTGCCTGGAACTTAAATGTCTGTATTTCACATGATCAACTGACTCACACTTGAATTTTACAATGGAGCCAAAATTATAACAAGTTCTATGGACAGAATCCATTTAAAATTTGTATGATTTCTGCTGCACATTTATGCAGACGAAGGAGCATGTAATGTTGTTTTAATGCTAGTATAACTGATAACTTATCTTTGCATATGGAAAATGCTGCATAGATATTATTTAAAGTGTGTGTGTGTGTGTGTGTGTGTGTGTGTGAGAGAGAGAGAGAGAGAGAGAGAGAGAATGGCATATCAAATTCAGGAATTGATTTTCCTGGATATTCTACATGACTGGGGTTGGGATAAGCCCCAAAAGCAGATGGGCTTCTGAATAATGTCTTATCTTGACTGAAAGAGTCTAAAACCTGTTCAGGAAAATTTAAAACTTCCATTTTAATCCCTCTCTTTAACTGTTATGGTGAAAATTATTTTAAATATTTTTATCATAAGTAATGAGCTGGTTCTTTGGCTTTAGGTCATAGTAAAAGCTAAAGCATATGTCAACTTTCATAAAACCATTTCTTCTTAATAGCCAAAACAAAATACAGGACTATGTAGCACTTTAAAGACTAACAAGATGGTTTATTAGATGATGAGCTTTCGTGGGCCAGACCCACTTCCTCAGATCAAATAGTGGAAGAAAATAGTCACAACCATATATACCAAAAGATACAATTTAAAAAAATGAACACATACAGAACAGAAGGGAGATGCGGGGAGGAGGGAAAGGAAGGTAAATGCCTGTGAGTTAATGATATTAGAGGTGGGGAAGGGTAGATGTCTGTGAGTTAATGGTATTAGAGGCACTATTCTTAATAGCCAGGTGGCTTGAAGTAGCTGTGGTTTAACAGGAATTTGTCTCTTTCTAATTAAAAAAATCCTGTTTATTATCCATATTTCCTTTGAAAGCTTTTTAAGTGCGTTCAGTGTTATGACTTATAAGTTACCTTTATATGTAAATATTTTAATGTTGTTAAGAAAACCCACCTGTTACTTCTCATGCTTAGTAGTCTTTCAAATGTTTTGGGTGTCTTCAGACATTCTACAAATTAACATATTCACCAGGGCATTATGATAAATATTTCAAGATATGTATAAAATCTCATTTTAGTTGGTTAATATACTATAGAATAGATACATTGTCTAAAAAGGATTCTGTGAAAAATAGTAAAAGCTTCAAAATGTGTTAAATAACTTGACCATTTATCTGTATGAATGTAGCACTTGTTTATTTTTAGTATAACATAAGCTGCATATCTCTAGCAAGTATCAAGTCTTCAGTCTTTAAAATAGGGTAAGTTTCTTTCCCAAGAGAGAAATTTTAAACTATTTTATCAGCCCTGTCTCCATTGGCATTTACAGTCATTCTCTACCTCCACACTAATAATGCCTTCAGCATTAATTTAACAGGCAATGTGTTGTGTTGTGGAGTGGCAGCATTTCTGAAGGCATCCTTAAGGTACAATAATTTCTTTCTGAGACATAGGAGATATTAATCTCAGCCTTCTTTAATAAGACCTGTCGAAAGACTTGCTATCACACCTTAACTCTCTGTATACCTAGTAGGATTAAAATGAATATTTATAATCCATGTGATTTGGGATTTTGCCCAGATGACAGTACTATAAAATGTTTGCTTCATGAATTTATTTGTGGCTACTCTACTTATAAAATGAGCCATATCTAACTTAATGTTTAGTGTGCTGCCATTTTTGCTTTAGACTTTCGTAAATTTAAGTGATTACACTACTTGCTGTATTTTATTTTTTTAATTAAAACTTAATGCAGTTTTCTACCACTAAAAAGGCTGATGAAGTTCTATTTGTCATTTAGTATCCTGTGCACCAGCCTCCCATTTGTCCTTTCACAGGAGGCAACATAGAGTTTTTGAGATGTCAGTCAAATGTCTCCTTCCATTAAAACACACAATTATGTTCAACCTACTTTGGGAAATGTCTGTATCTGGATACTAAATGGCAATTTGAATACCACTCTTCTATAGAATATCTCTCTCTGTTCCTTTGATGACACTGTGTGATTAAAACAAGATGAAGAAGAATTATTTTGATTTTACTTACGATTTGACAGAAGTTGG